AAATACATCCCAATAAAGTTGATTCCTATTTATCTATATCACTATAATTTGTAACTCTTTTCAAAATAATTTATCGCAGATTTACAGGTAACAAAAATAAAAATTACAAACTACTTCCTACTCTCTATCTCATATCGCCAACTCATTAAGTCTATCTTCAACATTAGCTATCCGGTCGATGCATTGAGTTCTCTTCTCAGACATCCACCAAACTTGTAGGCACATTACCGCATGTATGGTAGACGGATCTCACGATGTTCTCTAATCGTCGATCAAATATCCTGATGTGCTGGAGGCGGATTCCGAAGCTACTATAGAAACCAACGCTGTTAATAAGTCATAGGCCATGATGGAAAGCATAATATATAAAACTGTTCCATATACTCTCTACCATTATAAAATATCGAAATTGACATTATTTTGAGGTTTAACTAAAGGTGCAGTTAAATATTATTCAATTTTAAAAAATTCCATTGATGATGATCCAGATCTAGATCCATGTTTACTACCAGTTAGCCTCTCTATCATCAATTGCCTATCAAAAATCTTAACTTTGTCCCGTCTTGAGCTTGTAGAAGCTATAATTTGAAGTATACTTACACCATATCTACCTGCATACTCATTGAGTAATCTTTAAAAATAATATTTAATAGTATTATAATGAGTAAGAACAATAATAATCTGACTATTATCAGTGTCTATTATCATATTCTCATACAAAGAATTTAACAAACTTTGAAGGCCAATATCATTCAAGCATGGATCAATAAGAATCCCCAAACCAAAAATAATAGGAATATATCTAAACCACTTATTAAATTGACTGGAATATGTCTAAAATAGTTATTAAATTTACTTTCCACTTTAAAAATCATGTTTTCAAAATAATTATTCATGCAATATGTATTTAAAAAGTTTGAATATTTAAAACTTGTAAAGCAGCTTGAGTAATAGTTGAATAATAACAACCAGATAATAACATAGTAGCTTCATAAAAAACTTGTAGCATCTCTTTTACACAACATATAATTGTCCATTCATCATCAATTATTCCATACATATTAATAGAGCTAGAACTAGAAGCATAGAAAGCAATAAAATTATTTATAATTTCTTTATACTTTATTGTTACATTTAACATTGCATAGGTGGTATTCCATCTGTGATCAACATCTTTTAAAATTAATTTAGATTTTATATTTTTTATTCTACACAATTGTTTTCATATTTTAAGTCTTTGTTTAGAATCATTATGAGCATAAGTTATAATCCTAACTTCTTCTATCATGTGTTTAATTTTATTAAATGCACTTTAAACAATTAAATTTAAAATATAACAAATGCATCTAATATGAAAAGTATCATCTTGAAATGACAATAGCAAAGATAATTTGATATGATCTACAACTACATTATTATTGCTTGGATTATCTAGTAAAAGAGAAAATATTTTTTTCAAATATTTTTACTTTTGAAAGTTCTTCCATTATTGAATTTATAACATTAACATCAGTGTGTGAATATTCAAATGCAATAAAAGAAGCAACTCTTTTAAATATTTGCCAAGTGTCATCAATCTATTGTGCTTTGGTATATAAATAACCAGTTTGTGCTCCGAATGTCTAAATATCAGAAGTTATAGAAATTTTACAGTTTAAGTTTTAAAAATAAGAAATATTTTTTGTTTGTTCCTCGTGATAATATTTCAAAATATCATGTTGATAAGATTAACGAGAAAATTTTGAAATGCGGGATAAAACTATATCTAATCATATCATCAAATTCACCATCTTCTACTAATTTAAAATGAAGGTTTTTAGAACAATAAACCTGATGATGCATTTCTTGGCTTTAATTGCGTTGTAGTTTCAGGAACCGAGGCTACCGGAGGTAGATGATTGAGAGAGTAGAGATTGGCGGATGTCTCCTTGAGATGTTGTTGCTTGCGCTCTGTTGTGTTTTTCCAAATAGAATTTGAAGTGGTTGATGCCGGTCTTATGAGTAGCTTCAAAGATATGGCCGCACAACACACATTTGGCTTTCTAGGTGAGATATTTTTCGTGTTGATCCTTGGTGACTTCTATATTCTCAAAAAAAATCCACACATCAGATCTCGGCTTTTTAGGAGCTCTAGGTGCTGGATCATTGTCACCGTATTTAGGGTCAACATCGGTAGTAGGAGAAGTAGCTGTAGGAGTAGTATGACTCATTTCAGTGTCCGGAGTCGGAATTTGCCCTTTATAATAGGAGGAAGCCGTTGGTATTAGAGAATTAGAGAGTATAAGTGAGAATAAGAGAGTATTAGAGAGAAGTAGATGAGTTTTGGATGAGAAAATCAAATGAAAATCCCCTCTATATATGGAGACAGCCCCCTAGCCAAATGACCAAATGCCCTCAAATTTTAGTCTTTTTTGACTGTTTTGGGGGGTATTTTTATCAAATGACCAAAACTAACCGTTATTGGCTATTTTATCAGCCCGAACCGGGTCAGGTCCGGACCGCCCCTTACAATGAGCATTTTTATGCTGGTTGGACCGGGTCCAAACCGGGGCCTGGCCGGGCTTGGACGCCCAGCCCGGTCCAATGGCTCCTAGCTGTTCCCAGGTCAGGGTCCGA